TCTTTCCATCAGGACAGTCTTGGAGCTCTCATCTGCAAAGCAACAGAACCAGGTATCATTTCAGTCCATCAACCATCAGTCTTTATAAAACACACGTTGCTCTCACACACTTCTGCCAACTATAATTTCACATATGAGCTATTAGTTTTGTGCACTGTGTATTGTTTATTCTGCACTTAAGCTAACTAAACACCTTATACTTGCATGAGCGCTGTTGGTCACTGTTCATGGCTGTGCTGCTTTCTACTGCCTGTATGACATGATATATAAGGTATGCTGTTAGTGTACTAGGTATGTCATGCAGTAAAGGTTTAGTAAGTGGTTTACAATTCTGAGGTATTTTTACTTTACTTTTTTACTTTGTTTTTGTACAAATATTATACTTCTTAATCCTCTATATCTATAACTTGACTTAAGTTACTTTGCAGATTCCGATTATTTATACTAAATATAATCAACAAATAAATGACAATATATTATTATAATTTAACATCAAACTTTATTCATGCCCACTAGGAAATTCATAAACTACCCAGCAGACAAACAAATTTAGCCCCACCTTTATACATGAATGTATCAGCAGTCATTATGAGCCAGTGAGCCATACATTTTCCACATATGATTCAAATTCTGAGAAAGCAAACACTCCTCTCAGAGAAAGAGGTGGTCTTTGTGTGTGTGTGTGTGTTTAGGGGGTCTTCTGGGCCTAAAAAGCCCGATCTGCTTCGGGATTCTCCACATGGACGAGCCGTGACTCTGTCTGTCTGTACCGCTCCCCGGAGTCTCTGTCCAAGGTGCTGAAATCTGCTGCCCCGGGGACAAGTCACGTGACTGCACTTTTTTCCTCGGAGAGCTGGGTTACTGTACGTGCGTGTCGGTGGTTGCGCGCGCATGTGTACGCGCGTGTTGGTAGTGCGCGCGCACGCCTCAGTCCTCATCATGCGCGATTCAGGCTGATGAGGAAGGCTTTTCTAAGTCGGCGTCGGGGTTGCTGTAGTACATTTTCCGCGTGGTTTTAGTGCAATTTAATACGTAACTGTGACTTTACGTTGGAACATTTTCTTCTTCTGGTTCTTCTATTTCTTCTTCTTCTTTTTTTCCACCGTTGCAAATATTAGTGTGGCAACTGTGAATGGGTACACAGGAGTGGGCTACTGCCCACCAAGTCTGACTGTGTTTCGGGGGTGCTGAGAAGAAGAACATGTAAGAATCCGCAGGCATCCCCGCAGATCATTTCGGATTCCCAGTCAAAATGCAGAAAGGGATGCGACTCAATGATGGCCATATCACCTATTTGGCTCTTTTGGCGAAAAAGGATGGGACGCGGCTAGGTTGCCTGAGTAAAAAAAGCTCAGACAACACAAAATGGCATTCAAAGTGGTTCGCTTTGTTGCAGAATATGCTGTTTTATTTCGAAAACGACTCCAGCTCACGCCCCTCCGGACTGTACCTGTTGGAGGGATGTGTCTGTGACAGGGCACCGTCACCAAAACCATCTCTCTCAGCGAAGGAATGCTTAGAGAAGCAGGTAAGATATCGATCGCATGGGGAGCTCAAATAAATCTGACTGACTGACACTGTGAAGACGCGCGCATCAACACTGCTTGTTGTGTTTCTCTTGATGGGAGAAACTTGGTTTTTTAAACCTGACTCCGGGTCAAAGAAACGAAGGGATTAGGTATTTTGTAGAAGTTGCAAAATACAAACGACACAATTGTTGTTTTTATCGCACCTTCTGTTTATTGATGTCTTATTATGTAATATAAACAATTTCCCAGAGATGCTTTTGCGTTATAGTTCACTTGACGTTCAGTGTTACGTAATGGCGTCATCATAACTGATTGATTGTCTCGATTCTGCACTAAAATAGCCTCGCAGCCTGCCTCAAAGATAACTCATCAAAGGCACGGAGTAGGCTACAAAATACAGTGTTCAAAGTTAGCAGGATTCGTGCAATTCTTTGTACAAACTTTGCAAACACAGGCACAACCTCATCTTCTCTTGTTATATTATCATATTTGTTGCATCACATGCGTATATAAGACTATTTTTAATCACCTCAGCCTTCAGGGACTGCGGCGCGTATGTAGGGAGTAAACTTAAACTGCGTTCAAACTTTGCACATTTCCATCTTGCGGAGGAGAGCTGCCCTTTCCCCGTCGTTTTGACGTATTGATTTAAATCCTTGTCTTGATATTAATAGCATCCTACCTTGGCAACTGCATCTCTCCGGTTTATAGCGGCTTGGTTCGTTTGATAGCTCTCTCATTATCGCGGGGTTGTTAACGACAGCCACGAAAGAAAACCAAACGATGTCCCAGGCATGCTTTTGTTTCTCAGTACATGCCCCATTCGTTTTAATTCCTTCCGCATTTAGTGTTATGGATTATCACGTGTAAGGGCAAAACACTTTCCACTGTTTTTTAAACCAGTGTGACACAGTCAAAATAATCCCAGGTGAGAGCATGGTTGTCTGTAGCGAAACAGTTTTGAGAAGTAGGAAGGATAGTGTTCGGAAGAACTAAGTGGTCAAGCTGCTTCTGAAACATGCTCCGTCAGGTGCAGCCTATCCTGCGGCACAAACGACAAAGAACTACAGCGAAAAGTCAAAGTGAAGAAGCGTTTAACCTGTTCAGTAACCGTAGGTCTCGAATAGATCGTGAGTTTCCTTTTCACTAATTTGACTGGGGATGAGAGCAATTTTGTTTTATAACCTTTTGAACATTTTCATGATAATGCTGGAAAACCTTAGGCCTTACAGACATGCTTCACTTACCATATACAACAAGACTTTCAAATGAATAGTTGTCAGAACAAATTAAAAGCAACCAAGTTTCATTTCAGAAACAATAGAATTCATCTAAGTTTTCCAACCTCGTGAAAATACAACAGGAAAACTAAATAAAAATCCCAAAACACCTATAAATCCAAACATTGATTAATCCACTCTAGAACCATACATGTATTTGCTTGCTATTTTTGGAATCTTTCATTCTGTATCTTACTGTAGGTGGTTTGGTTGAGTGGGTTTATAGTATTTGTAAACTTTAAGGATGAATTGACTGTTGATTAAAACATGATGCATTCTGGGTAAAACCTCTGTTTACTGTTCCTATGTCGCTGTCCATGGTGCTGAACTCTGAGCTCGCTGACCTGAGGGAACTATTCAGATATTCCAGCAGAACTCAAACAATCCAAAACAAATAAATGTGTGTTAGTTTTATTCTAGACCTGATGGGTTTTTTTTACCAAATTGTTTGAAATGCCTAAAACTAACCAGAGTTTAAAGCTACTCTACTTAATTTTTTTTCGGCCACCAGAGGGTTGTAGTGAGACTCAAGACAAACTGACACTATAAACCACTCCTCACCACTCTCTGCCCTGTTTCATAGCAGTGATGTAAACGACAGATGCCTGGATGCTATTAACTAACTAACTAACTAACTAACTAACAAATACATTTGTTAATTCAGTAAAATGCTCTGGTCGCTGCTAATTTGACACTAAGCACTAATGTTACACACAGCTTGAATCACTCTCAAATTAAAATCATATTAAATCAATACAAAGGTAAAATCATGACCATGCTTAGCCACTAATGTTGGCTGCTTTTAACTAACTAATGGTAACCCTGCTTTCTGCTCTTTGTCCCACTTTCTTTGTGGGAAAGAATGCAATCTTTTCTTGTCAGCCACTGTTTTAGTCAGCAAGACCTCCTCCATGACTGGCTGTTTTGACTACTCATGGTTCGAGTAATGCTCCGTATAATCTTTTCTAAGTGGCAGGTGGTGCTAATGTACAGACTGTACTTTGAAAACAGATCAGAAAAGATGGAATAACAACAGAGGCACTGTAGGCAGCAGAGTGTCATGGAGGGGGGCAGGACAGCAGGGAGACATCATGTTCTGTCCCATTTTCACCAGACTTATCAAACAATGTGCAAAATCTTAGTTAATGCACCTTGAGCTAAAGGTAGCAGATAAAAAAACAAACAGATGTCCTCTGGGCTGTTATGAAAGTCATTGACAAACACAGTATTTTATTGTTTAAGTGTAATAATTTGTTGGTCACTCATATGCATTTATTATTACATTTTGTTCACTGTCAAGCTTGTTTTCTTGAAACCATGTCAGGACAAGGGGCAGTCTTTATTCTGGGAAATGAGTGACATGTCAGATGACAGCTGTTCATGCAGGCCGCTCAAGTCAATTTATTTCAGCAGTGAATTAAATGAATTTGAAAGCCTTCAATTAGCACGACACAGTTTTCTGTTCAGCACGTGTCTCTTTACATAATAAGTGTCAGGAATAAATTGTCTCAGTTTCATGTTACTTGTGTGGGGTTTGACTTTCTTTTGATGTGGGCTACTAAATGTATATAAAATTGTGTGTTTGTGTTTGCACAAATACTTTCTTCACTTGAGAACTGCACACTGCAGTGTACAGCCAGTCAAGCCACTGTGTTCATGTCTGAATGCATCCATGGCTGTACAGTTTGTGGGACTCTGCACATGCCTTGAAGTTTATATTTGCCTCAGTGTGTTCTTCTGCACACGCCAATGTCAATCTATAAAACTGTGCAGCTCCAAAGAAAAGGTGAGCTGAGGACACAAAGAGTAGTGTAAGTTCCAAGTATCTGAGGGCATGCAGATTTCCTTTTAACTTTCCCCACTTTGGAAAAACTACAGATGACACCTGAGTGATTGAACAAACTGCAGAGGTCCTCTGAGGCAATATCTAACAGTATATCTTCGACATACAGGTTACAGCAGATTCAAGCTTTCTGTTGAGAGTGTTACTGGTGTGTGTGCGTGTACTGTATGTCCACGTGTGTGTCAGAGCTGCAGGAGGAATGGCCGGGCGAGTCCTGGATCTTATCTGCGTGTGACAGAGAGAGGGACAATGCAGCGAATAGATGCCAAGCCAACTGCCACCTTGCAAGGCTACAGTGCTTTTTATAGCCCTCCCTCCTCAAACAGGCAAACCCCCCCCCCCCCGTCTGTCTCTCCATTCTCATTGTATTCTTTAGAGTGTTCTACTTTTTAAATGTTCTTATTCCCCATTTAGAAGGCAAGCTGCGTTCAAGCCCACAGTTACTATGGCAACCCCTATTTGCATCTGAAAAAGTGCATTTGAAGGGGCCAACAAAATGTGCAACAACATGCCTCAGCATTGTGCTTCACTTAGCAAGTACAGCAAATATGGGCAGAGAGATTGGCTATCGTAGGTGATGGCAGAGGGTGCAGAACTATGGACTCTATGACTTTTATCTGTTTCATCTGTGAACATTTTAACAGTATAATATGGTATATGAAAAGGATAAAAACTCTGAAAATGTCTATTTTTTTCTAACTATATTTCATGATTTTAGAGTATAATCTTTACATGTAGGTTATATGCTACACTGTGTTTAAACAAACAGCATTCCAACCGTGTCTGTGTCCAAAAAAAAAGGCACCAAAGGACAACACCAGAAAAAGTGGTTCCGTGCCTTGCATGAATGCATCGATGCATCGTGGATGGTCCCATTAATTCAATATATTCCAAATTTATTTCCACTTGTTTTGAAATTCGTTAATTGTCTGTAAATGAATTTTCTTTCTTAACTATTTCCATTCCTTTTTACACTTTGTTTACTGTATACAGTTCACACTTTGCTAGAAAGAAAGTATGTACGAAACCTTTATGTTTTGTTGACCTTGGCTTTACTTCAGATAATTTAGGATCCCTCAGACTCCACAGTGTGAGTAAAAATATCAATATTATTATTATGGGTTTTAATTTTAATATTTTTATGCTTTTTTCTGACCTTATTAAAACAAGCTATACAAGTGCTGAAGTGGAAACTTTTAGTTTTAGCAAAGACTAGACGTGTACACGTTAAAGGTGACTGGAAACAGAAAGTCATAAAACATTGGTATTGCACCACATGAGAGCATATTTAATGATGTAGACGTTACATGGGTTATTCACAAGAGGTTAATGCACAGAGTGACGTTACATATTTTTGGGGTAAGTTAGGCCTCTTATGAATAAACTTGAAAAATGTCAGTAAAAGAAATCCAAACAGATGTTGTTGGGTGATTCAGAACGGTTAGTAATCAGTCAAGAACAATCACAGGTGAACAACCAATGTATTTAACTATGTTTTACAGTTGACGTCTAAACAGAAGTAAAGTGTCATTTTCTGATGCTTTAGGCGCAGTAGTTCAAGTAATTTTCATAAAATTAGTAATTCCTGTTCATACATTTTGAACAAGGATTTGCTACAGGCTATTTCATCTTACTTACTTACACATATTGTCTCCATGGTAAAAAAATGTAGTGATGTAAACCTAAATATAGCTGCCTAAAAGGTTTGACACACCAGCTCACAGGTAGATGGGTGATGGAAAGCATATTATTGACAACGGCCTGTTTTGCTACTCATCAGGAAACCTGGACCATTACTCACATATTCACAAATAATTTGCTCTTGGCATTTAGGATGGACAAAAAAAAATCCAATAAAATGGGTTTGTTGGGGTCTATTTGCAATGTATCAGTGTTCTATACTGTAATTTGTAGTGTTTCTACCATAACTAGTCTGTCCCTGCTATTACTGCACTGACCGCTACTTTGTTGATTTGAGGATTTGATCTGATAACCCTATTAGAAAACAATACTACAAGCTTTTGCCATAATTGTTATAACTGACAGTTTGATGCTCTAGGGAGGTAATTGGTGAGGGAGTGAAAAGGGGTGAGTACTCACAGGTGTTGGTGTCACTAAAATGCAGCCAAATCACTGGGACAAAGCAAAACAGAACCAAACAAAATAAACATGGCGTCAGTCCAGAGGCTTCCACTGATTCAGAGGTGAGTTGCCAGGTTACAGACAGAATGCACAGAGGCTTTATAATGAATCTCTCAAGACATTTCTCTCAGAATTGCTCTCTCCCACTCATTCACACACGGCATGGATGTGTGTAAACACAGATCTCCAATTTCAACCAAATGCAGGTTTAAGAAAAAGCCTATCAGTGGTGACTGCAGTGTAACATTTAGCTAGTTTTTCTTTCTCTTTTCTTTATCTTTCACTTTTAAAAACAATATATTTTGATTGTCTCATTATATGCTGAACAGATATTTCACTCTCCTTCTGTGTTGTTGTTTTCCAGTATTACTTCACAGTCACATTCAATCATGACAGCCAGAAGGCTCTGGAGCTGCGCACTGAGGATGTCAAGGACTGTGATGAATGGGTGGCTGCTATCACACAGGCCAGGTACCCCTCACACATGACCTTCCACCTATATACACACACTTAGCTGAGGCTGGTTTTGTTGGGAAAGTGTGTGTATGTGTGTAGTCTTGTCTATATACTTGTGGGGACAGAACAATGGGAGCACACTGCTTTCCAGGGATCAGAAATCACTTGTGGGGATCGGAGGCTGGGCCCCACAAATAATTTGAAGTTATTTTATGAAAATGACAGGATGTATGGCTGGAGCAAGAATCAATTAATTTGTTACAGTTTAAAATGAAATATGCAGGGTGAATTGTATCCTAACCAAAATCATAAACCACATTTAGCATGCTAGCGTCCTAGCAATAACAAAACGAAAAGTACTGCTGAGGTATCGAATCATAATCCAAAGTATGATATATATGAAATCTGACTGACAGCTCTGAGAGGACAGGGTCTCAACAGTCATCTGGATGAATCCTCTTCAGCCCTTGATTGTTAGTGTAACATTCCATGGCCATTTATCTGATATTGTCCGCATGTTTCTTTTTGTGGTGGACATTTCCACCTCTAAAAGCTCGTTGCTAATGTAATTAAAGTATAATTAAGTTTATTTAACTCATTAATGGTGGTTTCAGACCAAACACATAAGAACAAGCAGTTTGTGTGCGGTTGTGCAAATAAGGAAGAGGAGCACAAAATACCTAACTAGGATGATAAGGACTGCAACACAATGTAAATATCACAATTTGATAATGTGGCATCCATGGGGGTAAAATCTCATAACTCTTCACAAATGTGTATTTGGTGATTTACAAATAGAGTCAGGGTTACAAATATGTAGAAACTGATTTGTGTGTGTCTCATGAAAACCACAGACACTTGTTTTTTCAATCTGCAAATAAAATTCAGATTTACAAATGTATAAAAATGACTTGTGTGTCCCGTAATGGCTGCAAATAAAAAACACGTGTAAAAATAATCTTCTGTGTGCAGATCTTTAAACCATTACTGCTAATAAAAAAAGCATTTTCATCACACAAGTTGGACAAGGAGTGAAATGGAGACAGTTTATTTATTTATTTGACTTGATGTATGAAGTTCTGAACGACCCTTTAAGATTCAGAGACAAAAAGACAAGACATACAGACATTCTAAATGTCAGCACTGTGCATTTGTATGGCAAAAGGTCAGTTGATTGGACTCACTAAAGATTACATTGATTAGTTCTCAGTCAAGGCAGCAGCACTTACAGTGTGCTGTACGGGAGTCAGTTGATCTATAGGCATGTGATACACAGCAGGCCAGTGGAGATCTGTGGCTAAACATCATCATATTGCTTTGGAGGTTTCTGATCGCTACCGTATTCTAGTAGTTTGAATTTCTTTATTACTCCCTTTGTCATTTCAGCACATTCCAGTTTAGCAAGCTGTTTTCTGATGTTGATCAGAGTCAAGCAAATGCCCTTTTTCCTGGTCCTCACTTGACAGGAGATAAGCATAATTATTTCTCATGCAAAAACAGCCTTTACACATGATTTGCTAAGTCTTTAAGTACTCAAAGAACTGGTTGTGTAAGTGACTATGCTCTCTGTAGATGTAAGGTCCAAACCTAAGGTTCAAGCATATGCTGATCAGAGGTTTTCTTTTGCTCTAACAAAGCTATGGCGAGCCCATGAATCATGCATTAATGAGGCACCTACCATGTCTCTGTGCGTGTGTTTGTATAGTTACAGGAACCTGGCTACAGAGCATGAGACCCTCATGCAGAAGTATCTCCATCTACTCCAAATTGTGGAGACGGAGAAAACGGTTGCTAAGCAACTTCGACAACAGATAGAGGATGGGGAAATTGAGATAGAGCGGCTGAAGTCAGAGGTAACCTGCCTTGTAATTTCATTGTAGTGACACCTGTGTATTGGTGAGCATGCACTTTTTTCTTTGTGTGATACACAGTGGACACAGAGAGAAAAGAGATGTATGTGAGAGTGGTTAGGCACAGAGGATAAAGACAGAAAGGAGGCATAGGACAAAGGTCATGACCCAGATTTCAAACCACAACACTGAGTTCTGGGTGGGCGTCATAGCTTGCAGCGCACCAGGGATGTCCTTGTTACAAATGCTGCAATACTGTTCAGTGTTTTGTATCCTAATTATTCAGTCTAAAGTAGATGAGATGCATCTCTTTAATGTGCTAATGACTAGTTTCAATTGAATTGAATGTTTTCAATATGCATGAATCAGCTTCTATTGTGCCCAGTACTGCAGCGTACACCAGAAAATGAAAATCTACCATTTCGCTTTCCATGTTAAAGCATGTAGTAGTAATGGATTTGGGGATGTTTTGTTTAAATTCAGTCTTTTATTACTGCATTTCTGGAGCCTATTCTTATTCATACACTGTGTTATGCTAATGAGAGTAAATGGAACAGGGTTGAATAAAATACATTTGGAAACTTTTTAATGCTGCTGGTACAGTTCATTCATATATAAATACTTTGAAACACAGAGCTGAAAAAAGCAAATCAAAAACATTAAATAAAACATTCATAATCACAATTAAAGAAAAAGAATAGTATGAAATGACCAAGACCTTGAGTGCATACAGGATCTTAGCCTCCTGAATCGATGCAAAACTGATTTGTGTTGAATTTCAGATTGCTGGACTGCTCAAGAACAATGAGAAGATCCAGTCAAATCCAGAGGTACTGCCCAGTGATGATGACACAGAGATCAAGAAGATCAAAAAGGTGAGCTGTGGTTGCTTTGGTGCTGTGCAGTTTGAAAGGTGCAAGCCTGACTCACTGTGCAGTTTCAAGAAAAGCTAAAGCAATGCAATGAGAAAAAGCAAGTAGGCGAAGGGACAGGAGAGAAGGTTTTGCCAAAGTTTGATCTGATCCACTAGGGATATGCATGGCTTCTGAAACAGGTTTTTAAACATTACATCATCTCCGGGCACCTGCAGGTTTTATTTTTAACCTTCATTTATTCAGAGAAGCCTAACACTCACATTTGTAGCTAGGTGCTCCACATCCTCTACAACCACAGGCTTGTTCTGTCTTCAGCTGATGCAGCTGCCTGCTTGTTGATGAAGCTGAAGGTTTGAAAACATGATGAACTTAAAGACTATTATTCCCTGAATCTGTAGTCCCCCTTTGCACCACAGTTGTTTAGTGTCTTTCAGCTCAGTGTTTTAGTTTTCCAGCCTGTAAGTATAGCACTATGGCCCCATCTCAATGCTCTACTACTTATTAGTAATAAAACTCTTCCCAAGACCACTGGATCACCTCAGAAATGTATAGCTGCAAATGCATGCATCACACACATGTAAACATAGGTAGCATAACCTTTGTGTGCTAAACCTTTTCATCACAGGTCCAGAGTTTCCTGCGTGGTTGGATCTGCCGCAGGAAGTGGAAGACCATCATCCAGGATTACATCCGTTCACCCCATGCTGAGAGCATGAGGAAGAGGAACCAGGTGGTGTTTAGCATGCTGGAGGCTGAGGCTGAATATGTCCAACAGCTCCACATCTTGGTCAATAACTTCCTGCGGCCGCTCCGCATGGCCGCCAGCTCTAAGAAGCCACCCATCACCCACGATGATGTCAGCAGCATCTTCCTTAACAGGTGGCTGGTGGTGAGACTGGGTGTGACAGTGCCAACAGAACAGAACAGAATTCATGACTGCCATTTTGCTTATTTGTTTTGTCAGTGAGACCATCATGTTCCTCCACCAAATCTTCTACCAGGGTCTGAAGGCCAGGATAGCCAGCTGGCCAACACTGGTGCTGGGTAAGGGACATGAAGATGACGCCCTCAAGACACTCACACAGTTCGACATTAGCCTTGTTATTGCTGTGATTTATTAAAGTGTCAGTACACTCAAATTATGCACCAAATGAAAAAAGGAGATTTTTTTTTCACTATTATTTTAGCAGCCACAACCCCAGTGTAATGGTTTTGGCAGTATCCAAAGGTTTTCTACATACCGTATTCACAACTTGTTTCAGTTTTTAAATTAAGATTTAATGAGAGCACAGATCAGGCTGAATTCAGGTCAAGACAAAAACAAGTTCCTACTTTTTGAAGTTAGGCTTTTGCAGAAGGTTTTACAAATATAAAGCAACTGATAAGGAAAAAAAAAATCTAATGCACCTGTGTTTTTAGCTTCTGCTCAGTGGTATTTTCTGTCTGTATGGGCTATCTTTGTTAGATAAAATGTGTTAGCATTTATACACAAGAAATACACCACGTAAATGAATTAAATAAGTCAAATAATATGTGTTCATGAAGATTTCTGTTTGTCTTTACAGCTGACCTGTTTGACATCTTGTTGCCAATGCTGAACATCTACCAGGAGTTTGTGAGGAACCACCAGTACAGCCTTCAGATCCTGGCCCACTGCAAGCAGAACCGAGACTTCGACAAGCTGCTGAAGCAGTACGAGGCCAAGCCCGATTGTGAGGAAAGGACGCTGGAGACCTTCCTCACTTATCCCATGTTTCAAGTAAGACGTCAGATATATTGTGTTGAGTTTTATATTTATACTTTGCTGACCTGAGTGAGTTGAATATGGTTTACTTTCAGGTAAACAGTAAGATTCATGTCAGTGTCATTAAGCAATCCAGAGCCTCCTTTCAAATTTCATGCAATAATGCTGGTATTTCATCATCAGCCAGTCAGTTCTATATCCATGGAAAGCTGTATTTGTTCATTGGTGGTGAGATTTGGGGCCTTTCAAAGTTAAACACCTACCCGTCAGACTGTTTGTGATCTAAAATGGACCAGTTGTTTCTGAAAAGATGCCATTACATTATCTTACCAACTTTTGTAATAATCACATTAATAATGCAGCAGTAACGGCTCTCAGTGTAAAATTCTTCATTATAATGTCTCTATTAGGGAATCAGTGTGTCTTTAGTTATGGAAAAAACTGTGCTGATGCATTGATTCCTACAAATAAAAACAATGACTTTTGTGAAATATTATCTTAGTTATCATATGTTGCAATAATGACAATAACATTATTAAATAAACATTTCCAGTCTGTGTTCCCTAAAACTCAGTAATTTGTTTCCACATAACTGTGCCCAAGTGGCAACAGTAGTAACATTGTTGTCCGAACAGTCTGTGTTCAAATTTGGACCGCGGCTTTCAAAGCTACATCACAGTCAAAACAGTCACACTGAGACTTGTGCAAAAAGTGAAGGCATACAAATATATGTGGATGAAAATACATTCTTTCACTGAATCAGAATGTTTTAGGGAAGTGAATTATTAGCCTTCCGGTTTAGAAGACAATCAAAATCATAGTTAAAGTGACTCATTTAAATGATAAGAAAGATGATCTTTCAGTTTTGCAGGAAAACTCTAGTCCACATCCATTAGAGTCAAGATGCTTGACTCTGCTTTCTAAAAAGCATTAAATCTCTCAACTTTTTGAAAACTTAAACCTACATTTTAACATAAAAAGATAAAAAATACTTATTTCAGTAAGCGATTGAAGCACGCCTCATTTCCTCTCTGTCTCTCTCTCAGATCCCTCGTTACATCCTGACATTACACGAGCTGCTGGCTCACACTCCCCATGAGCATGTGGAGAGAAACAGTCTAGACTACGCCAAGTCAAAACTGGAGGAACTTTCCAGGTAGATCTTCTGTCAGTTAGCCGGTCAAGCAGTTGAAAGTGTATTTCGTACTGCATGTTACGAATCAAAGAAGCTCAGTGTGCTTAATTGGCTCGAGAGCTCTGCAGGATTTACAGAAGAATTTTACATTGTTTTTAATCATCACCTCAGTCTGAATGGTGGAAAGTGCTGACACTAAACATGTGGCTGGAGACACTCTGAATACTCTGCTAATGAGAACTCAAATGCGTTTTTCAGGGTGCATCAGTCCTTTACACAAGCAAGACAGTACAATACCTGTGCTGTGTTTTGGTGTGTATTAAAAGCAGAAGCATGTACACCACTCAGAGATATCTACCAGATTCATATAGATGGTTTGTGGTCAGTTCTGACCATGATCAGGTGACATGATCATAGGTCAAAGTCACAAACACTTGGTGGTACTCTATTTGCAAAGCAACTTTTATTGTCAAGTACTGGACTCATGGGTGTTTATTGCCCTTACAGAATCATGCATGATGAGGTGAGTGAGACGGAGAACATAAGGAAGAACTTGGCTATTGAGCGAATGATTGTGGAGGGTTGTGAAGTGCTGCTGGACACCAGCCAGACGTTTGTTAGGCAAGGTAAGTTTGTTTTGTTATCAGACAGTGAAAAGACACATTTTGTTCTTGGTTTCTTGGCTAACCCAATGGCCAGCAAATAAAACATTAACAACATCTGAGCATGTCTAACACCAGAAACCAGGCAAAGTGTTTAGTTTATCTAGTTAAGGATGCCACATCTGAACTCACAATACCCAAAGAAAGGTCATGTAGCACAGTTTACAAACTGCAAAGCTGTGTGCAAATATAAGGAACATTATAAAATGGAATGTATTTTATATTATGAGTTGCATGTGGTTATAAGATGACTTGCCAAGTTAGAACACAGATGAATAAACATGTGTAAACCTGAAGAGCAATACTTTGTACTCTTTGATTTCATGATCCTACTCAGCAGCGACAGGTTTCATACTGACACAAAAAGAAACGTAATAAAGTAAAATGTTAATTCTTTAACACACATTCAGCACCATTCACACTCCTCTCTCTTGTAGCCTTATCTGTAATGATGCACCACATATTCTCACCCTCCTCCATTTCTGCACACGTGAATAAAATCATCGATTACTGACACACAAAAGCAGGCCTGTTTTATTTTTTATTGTAAACCTCAAACAAAAGAAATTTAAATGATGACAGGCAGTGATTTATGTTTATGTGTGTGTATGCATGACTCCACAGGTTCCCTGATTCAGGTGCCGATGAGCGAGAAAGGGAAGATCACGAGAGGCCGACTGGGCTCTCTGTCGCTAAAGAAGGAGGGCGAGAGACAGTGTTTCCTCTTCTCCAAACATCTCATCATCTGTACCCGAGGCTCCGGGGGGAAACTTCACATCACTAAGGTACAGCAGATGATTTCTATGTGGGTGGAGACACCGAATATCACATATTCACCAATAAAGACACTGTTTTTGATCACTTGAAAATATGATTTTAAAATTCAGGTAATTTTGGTCATGCAGTTTATTTTGTTATCTACTGGAAGTATCTTTACTGCTTTCATTAGCACTGGTTAAAATTTGTTAAACTATCTAGACACCTCCACTGTCTAATAGCTGGTAACCCACTGTGTGTGACCTCACAACCTCTCACCCTGTCACAGAACGGAGTGGTCTCTCTCATAGACTGCACACTAATGGAAGAGCCAGAGGGGACAGATGATGAATGTGAGTTGCTGCACACAGTATGTTCAAATGTTTTTTTAAAATGCTGCATATGTAGAAGTTTACTTGTATTGTAGGAAGTAGTTGAAACAATAGTTTTCTGTTGCTATACTGTAGCTTCCAAACTATTGAATTTGGCCTCACCTTACAAAAGGCAAACTGTCAGTCACATGGTGGCTGAGAGCTGTTTGTAACACAGTCCTGAAATATAATAATCTTTACCTTTTCCCCTTCATTCACACATTAACTATTGTGTTTGGGGTAACACATAGTGAGATGTTACAGTGAAATAAACAGCACACTATAATGCTTTATGACTGAGTGAAGTACTCCTGTTTACATGAGTGGTAGACTTTTTTCTCAGAAGATATGACTCGCTACCAATCGTAGTCCTAATTGTTGACCGGTGCTAGTAAGGTAACCACAATGGATCATTGTGCGTAATAACGCTACGCTTTCATGAGACACTTTTCAAATTAGAGGCTGCAGATGGAAATCACATATCTGCTGCTGCTGCCTTCAAATGAATGTAGGGATTTTATCTTCCGAAGGCGAATGCCTTTATACGATCTTGTTTAGCTTAGTATGTAAAGCTTGGCTTATTGTTACCAAGCTCCTTGATGACTTTTGTTTACTTTGTACTGTAACTCTTCTGGGCATGATCCTGATAGGATTTCAGATTTCAGCTCTTATCAGACATTTTGATTTGATCATAAATGTTTCTGGGTGTATAAATCAATAGAAATATACAGTACATATATAACAAAATATTATTTAAACAAATGTTATTAGTAACAAACATTTGCTGATATCTACATTTTTACTTTTATTTGGTTTGTGTTTCTGTTTTTTTTTTGTTGTTAATTTTTCTCTTTCTAGGGGTCTAGCAATGATTGTTGTCAGAATATTTTATCCTGCTCTGTTAAAATAAAGGTTGTCGAATATGTAATTTGCAGCCAAAGGGGAGCGGAGTGGTCAGGACGCAGAGCACCTGGACTTCAAAGTGATGGTGGAGCCTAAAGATGTCCAGCCTTACACCGTCATCCTGGTGGCTTCGTCCCGACAGGAGAAGTCGGTGTGGACGAGTGACATCAGCCAGGTATGTCTCCTCACCTGCATTAAAGAATGGACATGGTATGTTCCAAATAAACCTACTGCAGAATTGTGAAGTGTGGATTTAACTTGTCATGAGACAAGCAGTCATTAGATGAGAGAGAGTTTACACTTTAAATCAGAACTAAAACTGAAGGCTGCAAACATCTAGCACTTCCTTTTATTATGAGAAAAAAGCCAGAAGGACAGCCCTGAAGTTTACAAGGAAAGATTTTAATTTACTGTGGCCTTCACTTTAAACAAGAATGACTAAACTCTGTGTTACTACAGACATTTAGGTCAGCTAGAGGTATAGACTTGAAAGTTCAATAAACAACAATGGAAAAAGACCATACTTTTAATATTCCTGGAAACAGGTTTTTAATCTTCATCTTAGCCTGTTGCTATTCCTCAACTTATGTTCTCATGAATTAAAAGAATCCGAACAGGAAATCCCTTTGGTTTATGGCCATTAAAGCACCTACAATATTTGTGGGTGCAGAAACTTGTAGCATCCACTGGTTTGTGTGCTGTTACACTCACGGGGGACCCTCGCTCTGCTTGATTCACAGTGCATTGACAACATCCGCTGCAATGGTCTGATGATGAATGCCTTCGAGGAAAACAGTAAAGTCACTGTGCCACAGATGATTAAGTGAGAGATGGACACCATACAGCAATACACATTCATTATAAATGTGCAAGCAGAGATTGGCATTACCATTACATAAATACATGACAAATGCATGAATAGGTGCCACAACTCACTTGTATATACAGTACTTCTATGTTTGTGAGGGCCCTATATGTCATGTCAGGCCCATATATAGCAACATATTAACCCTCAAACATCCCTTTAAACATGAAAGAGCTTGAAGAAATGTCCTCACTTTTCAGAAATCTGCTCACTTTCAAGGTCTGACACTGGCCCGTGCACAATAGACAATACAAGATCATAAACATTACATTTTCTCCTTCCTACAAAGCCCCCAGAATTCAGTTCAACTCCAGCACAATAAATATCTACAATAATTTGCATGTGATCAGAAAATATGTACATACTGATTGGCTGTGTAAATACTATGAGACAAATTCTTGTCAGTAACATTCCTAACCTTGCCTTCCAACTCAGGTCGGACACTAGCTTGTACTGTGACGATGTTGACATCCGCTTCAGCAAGATGATGAACTCCTGTAAGGTACTCCAGATCCGTTACGCTAGCGTGGAACGCCTGTTGGAGAGGCTGACTGACTTGCGCTTCCTCTCCATTGACTTCCTCAATACCTTCCTCCACTCCTACCGCGTCTTCACCAGCGCTGATGTAGTGCTGGACAAGCTCATCACCATCTACAAGAAACCCATCAGTGCCATCCCTGCACGGTGAGTGAGTTGATTTCCAGAGGTTTAACTGAGGGTTGTATGAGCTCACAGGTGTGAAGTTATCCACACTAACTATATTTAGGTGCAGGTAAACAGAAAGTGTGAAGATGGGGATGATGATTTTACATCTTGTTCTGCAAGCTCTCTGTGCCTCTGTTTGTGGGTTTTTACATCAAGGAACAATTCTTTAACTTATTTCATAATACACATTGTCTTTATTCTATTTCTGTGGATGCGGGGAGAGTCTATCTCTCTAGAATGTAGCTCTTGAAAAAAAAACAACAACAGATAACTCAGCTTAGCCTGGAGACAGGGAAACAGCTAGCCTGGATATTTTCATTTCTCATTTGTAATTGTTTTCCTCTTGTTATAACTCATTCATCCATTATTTACACTGCTTATTCCTGAATACAGTTGTGGGGGGGCTGGAGCCAATCCCGGCTGACATTGGATGAAAGACAGGGTCCACCCTGGACAGGTCGCCAGTCTGTCACAGGGCTGACATGTACACAAACAACCACTCACACTCACACTCACACTCACTCCTACTGGCAATTTAGAGTCGCCAGTCAACCTAAGCTGCATGTCTCTGGACTGTGGGAGGAAGCCGGAGTGCCCGGAGAGAACCCACGCAGGCACACGGAGAACATGCAAACTCCACACAGAAAGGCCATGGGTCAGCCTGGGCTCAAACCCAGAACCTTCTTGCTCTGAGGCAAGAAGGTTATTATAACAGCACATCATTCCTTTCCCACATCACCACTGAAGAGAATTAAATGGAATAACTACACATAAGAGTGACATTAAATAAAAATAAATATGTAAATATAAAAGGACACAATCTAGCTAAAAAACAAGGGCAGGGGGGCTAAAGCTATAAAGTCATTTAAACAGGAATGTGGTGAAGGCGGTGATGAAGACTCATCCAAAACTACCAGCACCTCTAAAGCACACTATACTTAACATATTACACTGTCTCATTTCTTTATGTGCATTTCTTTATGAAGCTAACCTACAGTGGAGCTGTACATTGGCCCACCTCTGCTGCAGTGTTCTCAGTTGAGATTAAGTTACATCAGAGTTACTGTAGTGCTTCTTCAATGAAACATTTCTATCCCTGCACATTCTCTATTAGTGTTTAAGTGGACACCAGTACTCAGCAGAGCTAAAATGGTTTGTTACATTATACTCCTCCAATCAGGCCAATCCTTGCAGCTTGTGACAGCTGAAAAGGAACATAATTTGACATTTGCACGGAAGTTCTCCCAAGAATGCAGCAGTACTGCTGTAATGGTGCAGTGGATAGGTGGGACTTCCCCAGTTTTTGAGTTTGTCATTGCTCTCACATGGACTGTCTGTAAGCATCCCATCACACTATCATATCCTGTCCAGGTGAGGAGGGACCACAGAAGAGACAGTGAGAGGTCACACCGTCACATCCTCAGTCCGCTGTCACAGTTAATTGGGTCCAGTATACACCCACCTCTCCATAACCCCTCCTCTTCATTCTCATTCTTCTCTTTACCCTTTTCCATTCTCTCACTTTTATTTTTCTTTCCACAAGTCTGACCGTCCCTCTCTCTGCTGCGCTGTCACCATGGCAACCCTTCACTCTGCTGCAGGACCCCACCCTCTCCTTCTCCTTGTCTCCCCCCCTTGCTCCCATCATCTGCAGTGGCTCTATGGTATTAAATATTGATGGTGGTGTTTTGCACCCAGACCATGCTGTCCTCTCCTCTTCTCTCCTGCTCCTTCCTCCTGTTTGTTTTACTCCTGTTCTTTCCTCTTTCCCACTCTACTTGCTTGCTAGTTTGCTTTCTGTCCTTTGTCGTTATTTTCTTTTTGCCTCTCCCACACCTGCACACCATCCTCTTCTCTCCTCCCACTCGACGTCTTTCTTCCCCGTCCTCACCTTTGGTCCTCTCACCTCTTTTCGTTTACTGTTTTGCAAATTCAGGAGAGGAGAGGCAGCATGGCTACAGCTACCACCGTGCAGGGCTGGAGGCTTCCCGTTCGCCCACTCCCAGCCAGCAGCCTTCGCTGTGGTGGAATCTATATCCACTATGTTGCTCCTCTCTCACCCACTCCCTTTCTGTCTCACTGTTTTAGCCCCTGCTTTTTTTTTTTTTTTACATTGCATTGCACCTCTGTCTCTTTCTCCCACCTTCCTTCTCTGTCTCTATCTGATTTCCCTTTTCTCTCTGTTTCTCTCTCCCTATGTCTCTGTGGGCCTCCCCTGGGTTGGTTGCTGTTGGCAGCACCCGTGCCTCCCACACTGTCACTTGACATGCTATTTATAGGCCTTCAGAGGGGGTGGCTTTCAGTGCAAGGAGGATGCTGTCTTAAACAATGTAGCTTAAATAAAAGAGGCAAGAACTCCCGAACAGCCTTGTGGTTCCTTGTGTTCCCTCTTTGCTCACCAAGTGCACCGCACACCCCCATTATCATCATTTCTCCCCTCTCCACTTTATCCTACTGGGACCACTGGAAATATTCACCCAAAATTTAAGTTTTCTAGTAGTGAAAGTTGCTCTTTTAATGCTCATCCTTCTGCCTTTTTCACATGCCCTCCTTTGTGTCCTCTCTTCCATTTTCTTTTTCCCTGCAGGTCTTTGGAGCTTTTCTTTGCCAGCAGCCAGAACAACAAACTTCTCTACGGTGAGCAACCCACATCACCATGTGCCAGCCGCAAGTTTTCCTCCCCTCCTCCTCTCTCCATCACCAAGTCGTCCTCGCCCAACCGCCGTCGCAAGCTTTCCCTCAACATCCCTATCATCACAGGGGGTAAAGCTCTGGACCTGGCTGCGCTCAGCTGTTCTCCCAATGGCTATACAAGCATGCACTCCACCATGTCACCATTCAGTAAGACCTCCCTCGACATCAACAAGCTCTATGTGTCGAGCACCATGGCCAGCAAGATCCCTGATGAGGGAGAGTCCAAAGCTGAAGGCAAGGCTGAAGAGTCTGTCCTCAACAAGCAAGGTCAGATTCACTGTCTGAGGAATTTTGCTCATTTTTAATGAGGCTCCCGTGTACTGTGGCAGCACTTTTACCAGTTTGCTCTTATGCTCATATTTTGTATGTAGCATCTGTATCTGTGGTTGTAAAGTGGTACTGATGTATAATTTGGTTGTATAAGGGGTCTGAAGGGAAAAGTCATTATCATTTTTAAGCAGTATCCTTTGGGAGTGAAGAGCAAAGGAGCAGCTGACACAGTCTCAAATGGGGAATGTAGTTGTAAACATGACATCATAATTTTATGTCAGATAAAAAAATATAACAATGGCCATGTGATCTATTTTTCAACAATATAAAATTCAACTCATCATAATTATTGACCATAAAGACTTTTCAAACTTATGTTTCGCCCCAACCTTGCTGTTCCCAGCTACCCCCAACCCCAACCCAGTAGTTTCTTTCTGTCTGCATTTCTTCCTGACTGTGAAACACCTGTTGTGTCCAGATCTGTCTGTGAGAGAGGAATGCGATGAAGACCCAAGTCAGAGTGACGAGGCAGAGGCAGAAATGTCTCCACCCAAGTCTCCATCAACACCCAAAAATGTCAAATCAAAAAACTCTGGTACAGTATGACTCTGTGTCTACGCTGTTGTCTCGTGATCCAGTGTTTAAGCTGTTCTTTGTCTGAAACTTGTTCAGAACATCTTTTGATCTTGAATCTCAACTCACCAGTAAAAAAAAAAAAATAATAAACGAGTTGGCAAGAATATTAAGTAAATTGGCAAGAATGTAAGAGCTGGCAAACCACTGCAGCTTAGCACGTAGCACTGGTCACATGCAAGACTTGCCAGCGGAGCATCTTGGCAAATGGAAATATGACAAAATAAGATCAATAATAATAGATATCGTCAATAACATAAACCATTGGCAACATGAGGCATATTTAGCAGGCCTGACTATTCTTATGTTACATTTTCTAAGACCACTTGAATGAATAATTCCAACTGGCAGATTAAGTTGTCAGAAAACCAGATCATATGAAATGAGCAGTTACACTGAAATGAAATATTAAAAGAGCAACTGTCCACTGAAGCTGCACTGCAAAAACATGTAGTAACACCAGAAGGTGCTGGTAGATGGATTGTGTTACTTCTGAACAGAGCCAGGCTGTTTCCTGCCATTATGCACACTATTGTTCTAATACAGTTGAAACATTCAACTTTGCACATTCTGTGCCTCTGATTAGACACTACATTTCAAATACTGAGAAAAGTTTCTATCACCTCTAATTTTTGCTTGATGTTTACAAAGCACCTTTAGTAGTTTGGCATAATCTTAAAATATGTCAACAAAGCAGGGGCAGCAGGCAGAACGATAAAAAAATGCAGATGTTAGGTCCAATTCAGTTTTGAGAGTTAAATAAAGTCACAGCAGATGTATAGCAAACTTTTTTTCTGACAACGACAGCCATAACTATGGCCAAATAAGGTCTTCATAAATACCACCCACAGCCTCATGACCCTCCCCGTACCGCTCAGAGAGGGAGCATCCACCCCGTAGGTAGTCAGGCACAATTCATCCCCAGTGTGTTCTCTTCCCACGGTGCTGGATACAAGGGAAGCCAGTGCCTTGTGTGAGTAGGTGTAAGGAAACCTTGTACCTTAGCAACGATGTGCGTGTTCTTCTATACCACCCCCGGCTGAACGGAGGAAAGGGGGGTGGGGGTGGAGAGGCAGACAGTAGAATGTACATCGTCAGTGCCACAAGCTGCAGGACACACTGTGCTGGGTCTGTTTTAGCTCTTTGTTGCCCTCCACTGGTCAGAAACTTGGTTTGAATATATACCTACAGTACAATGTACAGTCGTAGGCTATATCCACATGCACTTTACACAGGGAATCAAATCACCATTAATGAAAGGGCTGTAATAATTCTGTGATAACAGTGACAACAATGAAGAGTAGATCAGGGTTTTTTTTTACATTCTCTCTGTTTTGTCTCCCTCCTTGTAGAGTTTTCCCTATTTTCCTTCAACAGTGGCATGGTGGTGTCATCTTGCCGGGAGCTGGATAATAACCGCAGTGCCCTTTCTGCTGCCTCAGCCTTTGCCATCGCTACCGCAGGTGCCAATGAAGGCACACCAACCAAGGAGAAGTACCGTCGTATGTCTCTTGCTAGCACAGGTCAGTCACAAAGTTCTGTTGCCTGTGTTGGTACCTGTCTGTTGTCTTACAGAGGCTTGTTGAGCACTGTCTGGTAGGATCCTGTTTCTATTACTGTCCTGTCATTTAGACTTTTTAAAGTAATGAACTGTAATCGGTTATTTATTATAATCATGTTCTAAATCACATTGAAGAGACATCATGTTAATTTATAGTGGGATTATCTAGATTATGACATGCTGGAGATCAACTAATGTCATTTTTGGTCTAAAGCTCTTTTGTGCCTTATGACCACCAAGGGGCTGCAAACAGACTACAAATATTACAGGGTGTCCTCTGTTATGCCATCATTTAGTATATTGTACTGTATGTTCACACTTACAGGAAAACTATTTGGAAACAAACGGATTATTCACCCATTTTTTCCATCTACTGACCACCTCTGTTTTCTGTATCTGAAAGCAAAACAAAACACACAGCAGTAGAGAAACCATTTAAAAGTAATGATGCTTTCACATTGCTGATTGCTCTGTGCTGTATGAATTACAATGTGAATGTAATTTTGTCAAACCCGATTCCAGGTTTTCCTACTGACCAGAGGAATGGGGACAAAGAGTTTATTATCAGAAGAGCTGCCACAAACAGAGTCCTGAATGTGCTGCGTCACTGGGTTTCTAAACACTCACAGGTACAGTTCACCTGTCTTTCTTTCTTTTCCTTTTTATGATTTCTTTGCCTTCGAAAGAGTAAAACCAAACTTCTGTAATGACACTGTTGCTGTTGTTCCTGTGTTGGTCCTCAGGACTTTGAGCTGAACACCGAGCTGAAAATGCGGGTAATTGGCTTCCTGGAGGAGGTGATGCATGACCCAGAGCTCCTGACACAGGAAAGAAAGGCAGCTGCCAACATTATTAGGTTGGTTGCTTGAGCACACATGCACAGTCATAAGGGACATATCTGTTTGTCAGAAGCCAGTAGCAAAAGGGTTTGGACAATCCGATATGTTAATTTAAACAGGAAATGCAGGTATGGTACATCGACCTAGGCCCTGGTGGACCTACACAAAACAAAAACTGTATCTGGAGGAGGAGCCCCAGAAAGTAGCAACCTGAAAAAACAGAAAAAATCATCTGGACTTGGTTTTAGGTTTCTACCTAAAACCAAGTCCAGATGATTTTTTTATACATTTCTTCAGCTTACTATGACCTGGACGACTGAGAATTTGCACAGACAAGAAAATAGTACTGGTAACCTTTCCCACTTTCTTCTCGGCAGCAGGTTTTCTATCTCTCTAGGAAAGATAGGACAGGTGTTTACCTTATCCAACATGGCACACCTGGAGGGACAAGTCCTGTATATTGTGTGAGCTAACCAACCTGTCCGCGTGCAGCATTTTTGCTAATCTTTATCCAGCTGTTGAGCTGAGGCCAAACGTGTCTGTAAACAAAACAGAACACAAAGAGAAACTACTACCCAGTGTACTGGACACTTGGGGTAAAGTCAAATTCATTCACAGCAAGTGAACACAGTGGTTTTGGATGAAACTTTTAAACAATGGCATGTTTGTCTTTTTATATGCAGAACTCTAACTCAGGAGGACCCTGGAGACAACCAGATTACCCTGGAAGAGATCACACAGATGGTGGGAGAAAGATTACACAAGCCTTTTCTGTATAAAAACCGCTTACTCCTTGAAATTACTGGTTGTCCTGTAGAAATGATTTGTGCTTCAGTTGTGATACCGAATTTCACTGTGTGTGTGTGTGTGTGTGTATCAGGCCATGGAGGACTGTAAAACCGAACCATTTGAAAGCCACTCTGCACTGGAGATAGCTGAGCAACTCACACTGCTCGACCACCTGGTCTTCAAGGTCATCCCATATGAGTGAGTACACATGTAAACATGTGCATGAAAACCAACAAATGAACACTTGGTTCTAAGATGAAGCGTTTAGTAGGAGTTTAAAGGGAAGTGCACACATTGAATGTTACTGTGTTTTTCATTGGACATTGTTTTTTTCTACAGGGAGTTCTTTGGTCAAGGCTGGATGAAGAATGACAAGAACGAGAGAACTCCGTACATCATGAAAACAACAAAGCATTTTAATGATGTATGTGTCTACTTACAGACAGACAGACAGACAGACAGACATAATTATCACCATGTATTTTCTTGGTTTTTTTGTCAGATCAGTAACAGGATTGCCACAGAGATCCTGCAGTGGGATGACGTCAACATGCGGGTGGCGGTGATTGAGAAGTGGGTGGCGGTGGCTGACATCTGCCGCTGCCTCCACAACTACAATGCTGTGCTAGAGATCATATCGTCTCTCAACCGCAGCTCCATCTTCCGCCTCAAGAAGACCTGGCTTAAGGTTTCCAAGCAGGTATTAGACATTTACCTTTTCTTGCCTTTTGCCTTCAGGCAGAGCTGTTTCCCCCGTTTCCAGTATTTATGCCAAGCTACTGTAAGTGCCTCCTAACTCAAGCTTCATATTCAGCTAACAGCTATAAGTGTGGTATCAGTCTTCACATCTGACTCTTGGTAAGAAACTGAATGAGTGTATTTCCTGACAAGTATTTTAAATTTTTTTCTAATTTTCATTATAATTTTTTTCATTGAAACATTATGCAAGAAAAGCAACATTTCCCTCAGTTCACAGAATGTACCTTCAATTCCATTTCTGGTTTCTGTTGATAACTATTTTGTTTTCATTTTCTAGACAAAGACTGTGATTGACAAGTTACAGAAGCTTGTGTCATCTGAGGGCCGATTCAAAAACCTAAGAGAAGCTCTGAAGAAGTAAGTGTCCAAGCTTCTTTCGGTTCTGTGGGATGTTTACGCATTCAGCTGGAGTTTGGCATTTTTCCCTTTGTGTTTATTCCTTTGTGTCCATCTATTCAATTGCTGCCTGGTGTCCCCAGCTGTGACCCTCCCTGTGTTCCCTACCTGGGCATGTACCTGACGGACTTAGCCTTCATCGAGGAGGGAACACCCAACTACACAGAGGACAACCTGGTCAACTTCTCCAAGATGAGAATGGTAAAGAACACCTGGGCGCTAATATATCTTAGACCTTACGTTGTTTCTACTTTGAGTCTCATTTTTGTGACATGTCTGTAATCTGTGAATCAAATATGTCCGTTTATTGTTGACTGTGGAACCTATTGACTATCTATCTGCAAGGTTGAATTTTATTTATTTTGTTTGCCTCCAGATATCTCACATTATCAGAGAGATACGACAGTTTCAACAAACATCTTACAAGATTGATTATCAACCAAAGGTGAGATTAATTCTTGTACCTATCCAGGAGCTTACATACTGAGTACACCGGAGATATTACTTGACTGGTATATCTATATTGTTATAGTGTTTCTGCTCAGTGTTTGTCTAATTAACCTAGTGATACATGTCTTAACTTTTAAAGTCCCCATGGCATGCTCATTTCCAGCCAATTAATGTTCAATTTTAGGTACCTCTAGATCAGCTTTGCACCCATCCTGACTCCAAATAGTCTGTAATTATTTCAGAACGATAAAACCCAAGAACCTCCACCTGAGAGGATAGTCTGTGAACGTGCACAACTCCTGTTGCCGATGTTGTGTCGAAATCTGAATCCTAACATTTACCCAACCACAGCCACTGAGGGAGGCGCTACATAAAACCAAATTTTGAACTAGAGAAGCAGATCTCAATGGGGCAAATGGTCTTATACTTCTATAGCGCTTTTTATGCATTGCAGAACACTCAAAGCGCTTTCACACTGTTTGGCCATTCACCCATTCGCACTCCTAAATTCATGCACCGATGTCATCACCAGGAGCAACTGGGGGTTCAGTGTCTTGCTCAAGGACACTTCAACATGTGGACTGGACAAGCCGGGAATCGAACCACTAATGTTCCGGTTAAGAGACAACCTGATCTACCTCTACCTGTGGCTTACACAGCAAAAAACACTGACAAATAAGCTGTTTTTGACAGTGACAATACCTCAAATCCTACCTGACATGTTCGAGCCAGAATATGAAAGTGGACAGCATGATGAACCACAACAGCATGAATTAATTTGAATTTCTCCTCCAAAGATAGGTAAATGATGGTATACAGTGGTGTGAAAAAGTGTTTGCCCCCTTACTGATTTCTTATCTTTTTGCATGTTTGTCACACTGTAATGTTTCAGATCATCAAACAAATTGATATATTAGTCAAAGATAACACAAGTAAACACATCATGCAGTTTTTAAATGAAGGTTTTTATTATTAAGGGAAAACAAAATCCAAAACTATATAGCCCTGTGTGAAAAAGTGTTTGCCCCCTAAACCTAATAACTGGTTGGGCCACCCTTAGCAGCAACAACTGCAATCAAGCGTTTTCGATAACTTGCCATGAGTCTTTTACAGCGCTGTGGAGGAATTTTGGCCCACTCATCTTGGCAGAATTGTTGTAAGTCAGCCACATTGGAGGGTTTTCGGGCATGAACTGCCTTTTTAAGGTCATGCCACAGCATCTCAATTGGATTCAGGTCAGGACTTTGACTAGGCCACTCCAAAGTCTTCATGTTGTTTTTCTTCAGCCATTCAGAAGTGGACTTGCTGATGTGCTTTGGATCATTGTCCTGCTGCAGAACCCAAGTTCGCTTCAGCTTGAGGGCACAAACGGATGGCCGGACATTCTCCTTCAGGATATTTTGGTACACAGCAGAATTCATGGTTCCACTTATCACAGCATGTCTTCCAGGCCCTGAAGCAGCAAAACAGCCCCAGACCATCACACTACCACCACCATATTTTACTGTTGGTATGATGTTCTTTTTCTGAAATGCGCTGTTACTTTTACGCCACACATAATGGGACACACACCTTCCAAAAAGTTCAACTTGTGTCTCGTCTGTCCACAGAGTATTATCCCAAAAGTCTTGGGGATCATCAAGATGTTTTCTGGCAAAACTGAGACGAGCCTTTATGTTCTTTTTGCTCAGCAGTGGTTTTCGTCTTGGAACTCTGCCATGCAAACCATTTTTGCCCAGTCTCTTTCTTATGGTGGAGTCATGAACACTCACCTTAACTGAGGCAAGTGAGGCCTGCAGTTCTTTGGATGTTGTTGTGGGGTCTTTTGTGACCTCTTGGATGAGTTGTCGCTGCGCTCTTGGGGTAATTTTGGTCGGCCGGCCACTCCTGGGAAGGTTCTCCACTGTTCCATGTTTTCGCCATTTGTGGATAATGGCTCTCACTGTGGTTCGCTGCAGTCCCAAAGCTTTAGAAATGGCTTTATAACCTTTTCCAAACTGATAGAGCTCAATTATTCTCTTTCTCATTTGGTTTTGAATTTCTTTGGATCTCGGCATGATGTCTAGCTTTTGAGGATCTTTTGGTCTACTTCACTTTGTCAGGCAGGTCCTATTTAAGTGATTTCTTGATTGCGAACAGGTGTGGCAGTAATCAGGCCTGGGTGTGGCTAGAGAAATTGAACTCAGGTGCGATAAACCAGTGTTTTGACAGGGGGGCAAACACTTGTTCACACAGGGCTATATAGTTTTGGATTTTGTTTTCCCTTAATAATAAAAACCTTCATTTAAAAACTGCATGATGTGTTTACTTGTGTTATCTTTGACTAATATATAAATTTGTTTGACGATCTGAAACATTACAGTGTGACAAACATGCAAAAAGATAAGAAATCAGTAAGGGGGCAAACACTTTTTCACACCACTGTATGTACCAATGAAAAGAGACGTGTAACACTATAAAACAAAGCGGGTCACTGAGAAACCCCATATTTGAACTGGCGTAATGTAGACATAGTAACTTTATTCTTTCTTTATTCTTTCTTTCTTTTCTTTCAAGCATGTAAAAACAGTTGATATGTCAACACACATAATTTTACACATATCCAACAAATGCTAATCCAATATCAATTTGCTTATACCTAGTACATGCTTGAATGGAGTAGGAAGAAGTCAGACTTATCCAGTCCTACCCCATGACATCATCTTACCATCATTGGTTTGCAAGCAATAAATGATTC